GAAGGCATTGGTGATCTTTGCCACTGAGATAATGCTCTGCTGACAGCATAAAAGCAGGAAGAGCCTCCAGGCTACGTGCACATTCCTTTAGCAGGAATGGCATTTCATTCAGATCAGGCTACCTTCCTTATTGTCAGGCCCAAGAATCATCTGTCCACAGCACCCATGTGTTACTGAGATTCAGCTTCATTTTATTAGCCTTCATTCACTTCAGACAATTGTCAAGCACCTGTAGGTCCACCTGTTTCAGGTGGGAAGGAGCTAGAGGAAGCTGACTATCATCTGCATACTGATGACATCACACTTCAAATATCTGGATGACCATCCCTTGATGGTAGATATTGAACAGGAGACAAAAAATAATAGAATATAGGACTCCACAGTGCAACCCCTGTGGGGATGGACAGTAACTTCCCACTGCCACTGTAACGCTGCTCCGGCTCCCCATTCACTTGGTTGCTCCACTGATACTCCATGATCAGTGATGTCAAAAGCTTCTGAGAGATCCAGGTGAATCCCATGTAGTAGATCTGGGGAAGGTCATTACTCATAGCAACCAAACTGTTTCAATGTTCCATTCAGACCTGAAACCAAATTATGAAAGGCATCACTTATGTCACTGTGTCACAGTGCATGTTTGGCACTGTACTGGTCAGGAACCTATGGTTCTGGTGCATCCATAAACACAACAGGTTCTACTAAATTGCGATATCTAATTTGAGAATGAGATGAGAACGATTTTATCCTCAAATTGCTTTAAGTGCTACTGTAATTGCACAATGACTAATGGGACAGAGAAATCAGTGGTAGTGAAAGTCCCATTTTCAGCAGAAAAATTGGGGGTTAGGAGGAACACACAAGAGAGTGCTAGGAGTTGGGTTGGAGGTGATAGGCTGCATTTTAGAATAGGTGGAGATGTTTTAAAACATGAGGTCAGAATATGCAGAAGTGAAAAGGTTTTGTCTAAAGTTACAAAGGAGAACAAGAAAGTACCAAGAAGTAGCTATGTAAATCTCATTGACTGAAATCAGATTGGTGACTTATAAAAGACCAGTCTGATCTCCCTCAATGAGATTTACAGAGCTCCTGCTTGATTCTTTATTTTCCTTTACACTATGAAAGACTTAAGCGGAAATAGATCTCAACAATTTATTCTTGTTTATTGCTAGCTTGCCCTTCTGATCTGAACAGATTTTATTTAAAGTTTCTAATTCTTATAATTAAAAAGAAATAACTGAAGTGTTTTTGACAGTTATTAGTCTGTAGAAAAAAAACTAAAAGGGGACTGGCTGAGGACAGCTTCCAGCAATTGGGGGAAAGGGTTGGATATCTTTATTCAACATGGTAAATCCAAGTTTTTCCTGAAGATAAGTCTGCTCTCTGCCTACTTTTCCCCTCAACAGATGAAGAACTTGCTCACGTATTCTCTCTCCATCCTTAGTTATTCCATGAGAGCTAACTCTTCTTTCCCAGCCGCAGTCATTCTGTTTATTTAGAGAGAGAGAAGAAAAAAAAGTTTCAAATTTGCCAAGACATTTTATAAAACATCTAAATTATATATGCTTATGTCAATTTGAATAATTCTAGAAACCAAAATTAGGACAAGAAGAATGCACACTTTGATGCAGCTTGAATCTCCCTGGCCAAAAGGGATAGATGTCCAAAAATGGGTTTTGAAAAGCACTTTGTGCTGGGGAATTTTTGGCTCTACAGAAGCACTCTTCCCATTTTGTGGTTGTGAATGCTTATTAAGTTTCTGAACTTGAGGCCAGAAGCAGTTCCAAAGCAGGCAAGGGCTCGATCTATCTGTCCCTCCGTTTATCATACGTTCCCTTCATTTTCAGGCAAAAATTGTCTCCCGGATCTTCACACACACACACACACACACACACACACACCCCAGAATTCAGAAATGCAGTGCTCTGCAGAATGGAATCAATTAAAATTGGGCATGGGTCCTATCCTCAGGGTTATCAGCCAAAAGTCTAGACGCGCAAAAGAAATAAGAATGGGAAGGGAGATCAGTTTGATATTGCCAAAACAAACTGGTAAGTTCTTAGCAGAACATTGTATCCCGTTGGAGCCAGGATGAATTTTCTTTGAAGTTTTTCCTCTTTGGACGTAGTTGCTTATGCAATTATTGGCACCTTGTAGTCCTTTCTCCAGTGCTACATTAGAGGTACTTTCCCCTTGGAACAAAGTGTTTTACTTTTGGATACTGAGAGCAGGTTCCCTTTCTGGGCAGTGGCCAGGTTGATCTTCTGTAGCAATTTTAGTGGGAAGAAAGAGATGCAATTTCCGTTCTTTGTCCTGCAGATCACATCCAAACTGAGCTGAGCAAATGATGCTATGTTTAAACTTCTAATCTGGTTGAACCCACATTTTAAATTAGATTTCAGTCCCTTGTCTGGAGGCACCTTTAATTTGTCCAGCCTAGAAAAAGGAGCATAGCGAGGAAGGAGCATCTGGCCAATCTCTGAGTTTGAGGAACGTTTCTGTTTTCCCAAACTGGTGTTTCTAGAATTAGGATTGTGGCCCCTGAATTAACCTTACATTTCAGCAAACTGTTTTGGGGGGTTGTCCATTCATTTAGCTTTTCTCTCGCTGCTCTTTTTCTAGATTGGAAGCTCCTTGTTTTTGAAGAACATCAGCAAGTATGAGTGTGTACATATGTCATATTACATGTGCAGTTCATTAAGCCAAATAGATAGTATTTTTCTCCCACTTAAAAGTTCTGCTGTTCATGTATGCAGATATACAAAGTGAGCGAGAACACATTTGATAGGCTATAACTGAAGATAAGATAAGTTCACTGAAATACCTGCTAAACGCATAATCAAAAATTCCTTGTATTGTGCTAATATAAATTGCCAGTGTGATATATACTGGTTTTATTTCATAGGTATACTTAGGACACGCTGATGCCTCTATAGCTGCAAGACAGTGTGAGGGCAAAAGGTATGGCTGTTTGCATATACTAGATACCTGATGTGTGAATTTACACTTCTTAACAAGTAAGGGATCTATTTGTCAAGGAGCAAGGAGTCTATACACTTAGAACAGTGTACTTATGCTTTTTCTGGTACTTGAAAAGAAGACTATCTACTAAATCAAGCCTTGTATGGGAAGAGTGAGATCTGCTGTGTGCATTTTTAATCAAGCAGAGACTAGTATTTAGGTGTGTGAATTTGCAAGGAACATAAGTTCTAGATCAGTGTGTGTGTGTGTGTGTGTACACATTGTGTGTTTGGGTTGCATATTCCCTCCCTTGATGGAGAAATCCAAAGCAGACCTCGAAGTAGCTGGAAACCCTGAGGGTGGATCCCATCAAGATTTGTGTGAAGAACCAGCTGCTCGCCCTACCTGGGGATCAAAGGCTCAGTATATCCTTGCCCAGGTTGGCTTTTCTGTTGGACTCGGCAACGTCTGGCGTTTCCCCTACCTGTGTCATCAAAATGGTGGAGGTGAGTTGACTTGGGCAGTCAAATTTGGGACTTGGACTAGTGCAAGACTCTCACTCTTTTTTCTAAGAAATTATGGCTTCTCACAAATGACTCCAAAGTAGCAGCTCGTAACGCTCTTTTATAATTGGGGTATCTTCTTCCTTTTGTTACTGTATGTGCACACAATATCTGAAGCTTAGATACTCAGTTCCTCGTAAATGGAAAAGGAATGGTTTTCTGAGTTACAGTACAAATTTGAGAAATAGTAAATAGATCACCTTAGGAGTTTGGACGAAAGCAGGCAGACAACTGAAATGGTGCATTTGCTGGAGAACACGTTCTCTACCATTTAGATTCTTCTGGTGGGAGTATTGGCAAACCCTGGGTTTTCACAGTGCTGGTTATCTAGTTGCCCAGAACAAATTTACAAGGCCACCACACACTAGCTTTCCAAACAGTTTTGTGTGAAGTTGATCCTTTTGATGATCAAGAAAACGATCTCTGCCCCTTTCTAAAACACTTGGAAATAGTATTTTTAAGCAGTTCTTTTTTTAACAATAACAGCAAATCTGTCTTATACATGATCCATTTCATCAGCTTTAGAGTGCCTCAACACTTTAAGAGGTATAAATGTCTGGTTAAACAATTTGGCCAGGTGCGTAAGGAAAAAAGCTGGCATAGAAGGACAATAGAGGTATAATGCAAGAGACATTCAGAATGTGGTCCACAAGCTGTATGTATCTCTCAAGAGAAGTGAAGGGCGAACAGCATATTTAAAGGAGAAGATCCATGCAGTAGCAAGGATTTAGGGTATGCTTAACCTGCTGAGAGCCAGTTCAGTGTAGCAGTTAAGGCATCAAGCTAGAAACCGGGAGTTCTAGTCCCACCTTGGGCATGAAGCCAGCTGGGTGACCTTGGGTCAGTCGTGCTTTCTCAGCCCAAAGAAGACAGGGGCAAATCACTTCTGAAATCTTGCCAAGAAAACTTCAGGGACTTGTCAGGCAGAGAACACATTTGATAGGCTATAACTGAAGATAAGAT